TGTGGTTGTGATAGCACTCGTATTAGTGGTGGTTGTGGTAATACTGGCGGTTTATGGTAACACTGGTTCGGTGGATTGCACTGGTAGTCGTTGATGCGGTCGTAGTAATGGTAGTAGATGTGGTTGTGCGAGCACTGGTAGTGGTGGAAACGCTGTTGGCGGTAGTAGCAGCGGTTGTGGTAGTAATAGCAGCAGGAGTGGCTGTATTGATTGTCAGGGGAGGACAAAAAAACAAGCATGGTCCTGAGTTGGGCGAGGTGGGGGGGGGGGTCAGTGTTGGGGGATGGGTTCTGGTGTTGGGGGCAGGAGTGGGTGAGTGAGCACAGGCTCACAAAGGCAGACATCTGCCTTTTCAGGGCAGGCAGGCGGTCGGGTTGGCGAGCCGGCGGGAGAGGGGGCGGGTGCCTTGGTGTGTCACAGGGAGAGCGATCATAAAACCGGCTTTTACGTGGCGTTGGCAGTCACAATCGCCACGGCAATTGTCGCGCTCGGGAGTGTTTCTGGAGTTGCGCGGAGCCAATGAAACAAGAAGCGTATTAACAGGGAAATTTTTAACAGGCGAACCCAAGTTTATGTCGTTCTTTTTTCGAGCGGGTTTTTTTTCTGTTCACACAATTCCCTTCAAGCAAGCTTTGCCTCCTCCTTGACGAACGCGTGGCTTCATCCCACCGAGTTCTATTTCGGGATTCCGTTCTTAAACCTATGCGTGAGTTTTTGTTTTGTTTTTCATTTGGTTAGCCGGACGACCGTATGTACAGAAATCGTTGCACTGCTTTAAAATGCACGTGCAGGATATCACGGCCGTGATGTCAAGAATCGAGCGCATTTGTGGCGGCTCAACGGTGAAGCCTTCACCTCATTGCCGCATGCCGCTCGCTGTTGCCAAAGAATTCTCCGCTTGATTTTCTCAAATCCTGCATCTTCCAACAACCTTCCTCGCTTCCAGCCGCATCTCGCCAAAGAGAGAACTTGTGGAAAGAAAATTCAAGTTGCCAAATTTCCAGCGTGTCACCATCGGAGGAAGGAAAGGGACAAGTGTTATTTATTTATTTATTGCTTGCCTGCTTTGTTTTCCTTTCATTTTCTCCACCCATCTGTTGGGCTGTCGCTCGTGCCAGAAGCCCTGCAAGCCACGCTTCGCCTCTTCGTTTATGTCTTCGTTGTCGTCGTTTGAGAGGGTGCTGCTTTTCTCTGGGACGATTGTGAAGTTGGGGTGGGTGGCGGTGAACACCGGCGACATCTGAGCCTGCCTCGCAGCGTGTGCTCGCCGACACTGACCCCATTGTTGCGACACAGAGCGAGCGTGGTTTTGAATCGCTTGGAAAGAGTCATTTGCGTAGCGATACAAAGCGAGCAGAAAACAATCGAGCCGCAGTGTGACACAGGTTGAGAAACAATTTCTTTACTGCAGATGATGGAGAACTAGCGGTAGGAAAGAACACGGAACAAAACTCGGATGTCGGCAACGTGTCCACAAAAGAAGACTCGGGGAAAGATAAAAACAACTTGATTCGCCAAAGTGGTGATTGCTGAGACCTCGTCGTGCTGGCTGAATCGATTTTCCTTTTGTCACATGTGCAAGACAACATTGTATCAAATAAAACCTTTACAAGAAGATGTTGAAGACATTGTTATTCATAAAAAAATTAAGCTGAAGGCAAACATTTTAATTGTATTGTAGCAACTTCTTTGCTCCCGACTTGGCTGGCCGTTTTGTTCATTTGTAGATTGTGTCGTCGCATGGAAAGAAGGTGTAATTGGGAACAAGGTCCAACAGGCATTGTCGACATCTTCCTCTGAGTGGTGGCGATGAAATTGGCCGTTAGTTTGTTCCTGCCAGGATTTACGCGTTTAAAATGAGCGAGAGAACGGAGCCTTCAGCAGAATTTTAGTGCTGAGTTATCACTCCCACATCATGAAATGCCTTAGCCTCGTCGTCGCCTTTGGAACCGGACTTTTGAATTCTGCTTCACCAATTCTGGAAGGAGCCGCCTCTTGAGACCATTAACCTAAGAAAATATAGAGCGCGCAAAGTCAGATTCTAAAACCACGACGGTGAATTTGACAGAGAGCAACAACTGACCCCCCTCCCCCACGCAAGTTTCTCCACCGTCGACGCTTTTGCTAAATTTTGTGAGTTGGTGAGTTCACAGACTCTGGCCACCACTGTGTCGGAGGAACGGCGACGATAACGACAAATAATTATTTATCCAGCGAAGCAAACAACAGCAAGAGACCACCCCACGCGCAGCTCTGATAGCCACCGCTGTGGAAGGGCCTTTGAATGAGGAGTCTGGCGGTGTTGGCGCCGGTTGTTGGCCGGCGGATCCATGGTTCTGTTCTTGGAGGTGGGTGCTCTTCAACCCTGTAGTATAGCAAGACCTTGTTGTTTAAAGTTAAGCTGGGGGATGTCGGGGGCATATGACAATTCGGGGGGGTGAGGGGTACACGACACAGTTTACGTTAAACTAATTAAAATGCGAAGCAGAGTGAGTAACGATACAATCTTCTTTTGTGGGTTCGGCTCTACCACACTCCACCCCATGTGTGTATGTATGTGGATGTTATTGTGCCAAGATTTTGTCAATTAAATTTTGTGGTACCGCATAGGCAGTGGTGCTTAACCGCAAAGACTAATTGAGATCATCTCTACTATGAAGAAGGGCCATTGCCCAAAACATGGCCTATCGTTTTTATTTCATATCCTTTTAGGTGTAGTGCTATTGACGAATGTGAGTTTCCACTGATTATTAGAATTTAGAATAGAAGTGGAGTACTGACCCTTCAACTGGGTGGGAAGCGGTGGGCAGAGGTGGTGCTGTGCCCCCTCCCGCTCATCAACTCTGCGGGGTTGGTGCTATCGCTGCTCCTGCTGCTCCAGAAGATTTGTGTTTTTTTTCGTTCAATGACGCCCCTTTGTTTGCGCGTCTCTTTTGTGCGTAACGCTTAGGACTGACAGTGTGCGCTAGGAAAGTGCGGGCTTGTCCCAGGGTGGTGATGGGGTGGGTCCATTTGAAATTGTGCAATTCCTTTGTTTTTGTGTTGCTGCATTTTTATTTCTCTCCTGTTATTGTTGGCGAGGATAGGCAAATCTCTACGTGTTGTCATGAGACCCCATCAAAGAGAGCCATCCACCTTTTATGTAATGCCTCCCATCCGAAAATGGTCTGTATATTATCATTTAGAGATCTTATCAGGCAGCAGTGTGTAAGTCTATTATTGTTTAGAGACCCTTGTCACAGACCTGTGTCATTATATTATCTTAAGATCTCATCAGAGACCAGTCTGTTTGTCAATTGTCTAAATATCCCATCAGAGAGCAATCTTTTAGCAAACTGTGTAGAGACCCCATCGAGACCAGTCTCTGTTATTGTCTATAAATAATGGAGTACTACAACAATGACTCTACTGGAAATAGAGATAAACTATCAAACATCCAGCTGTTATTAATTGTTGTTTTTTTTATGTGATGAAAAACAATAATTTTTCTGTGTCATTCATTCAGAAATCTTTAGTTTTTTTACACATGTTGAGTGTAAACATCCAAGACCCATGGGACCAAACTTAGGCATTATGAGACAAATTACTCAATTGGGATTATATGCGGCACCAATCAGCACTCCCTATTGGCAAACGAATGCCCCAGGTTACTCTTGCAAATTAGACTCTTCCTGGTTTCTTGAGTTCTCAACTGGTTAAAACAAAATACTTGAAACCTGAGGAAGTTAGATTTCTTAGGGATTAGTCACAAGGCACAGCTCATCACGAACAGCAGCAGTAATGAGAATGATCTTAGGCTGGTCTGCGTGACTGTATCATGATGATAATAACATTAAAATGTATCATTTATAGCGACCAAACGTCATAGCTGCCTTGTGTGTCCCATTCAGAAGCTCAGCCTCAATCAATCGATCTTTATTTTACGTGCCAATATTGCCCCCTGTAAAGTAGGCATCGGTGCACATTACAGCAGAATGGGAATGGTGCATGGGGCATTCATCAAAACGTGGCTCAAGCTTGGTGTCTGGTGTGGGGAAAATGACCCAGGAAACACCACGATTACGGCAACATCCTCCCCATGGAGAACATGTTGCTGTTTGTAAAAGCTTATTTTCAGGAAACCGGAGTTTGGTTGGGGGGGGGGGACTTGTGTGGGTGAGAGCGGTGTTGACGAGCGACTCGTGAGAGATAACCTGTGGGATTTTGAAGTACAATACGGCGGCGTTGCATATCTCACCGCCACATATCCACCCTGCCCAATTGGCCGCCCACACACGGTTGTCGTGTTTGTGCACGGGTGTAGTTGTCATTTGCTGTAAGATGCTCACAAGTTGCACCTTGTCACGCACGGCAGTAATGAGTTCTTAATCTCGCGTACATGCACTTGCTTGTAAAGAACATTCAAGCGTTTAACCGTGTTTAAAGCAGTTTGCGCTTTATTTTCGTCCAGTCATCCGAGCTGTTGACATATCCACCCCATACTACATCAGTCCCCAGCAAGTCAAATATGCAACGTTGTACTTTATGCATACGTATAGTAAAACATTTTTACAAACAGCAGCCCTTTGTAAATCGACTGCTGGATGACGACTTCCCCATGAGTCAGTCACACCACACTTCACACTGGCCATAGGGACTACAGTGGTGGATAGGGGACCCATTACAGGTTCAGATATCATTCATCACTGATGTTAGCTGTGACCAGTAGTCACACATATGTCGTGTCTCGCATGTCCTGTCTTGTTTTGTCCATTAGCCTGAAGGGAACATTTATACTGTCCCATCCATGTTGTCTGTCTCTTACGTTCGGTCTCATGTTGATATAATATTCAGGAATAGGAAACAACTCATTCTTAAGTAGCACGATTCAATGTGTGTATCCTGAACTTGACTCACTTTTAAGCCATGGATTCTTACCTTTCTGCGCCCCACTCGCACGTGTTCCCTGCCGTCCTTAATAGGTGCTCGCTAACCGTCGCCTCTGTTGTTTTTGCGCACAGACAAAGTGGAGCCCAGCACCACCTCTACTCAGACGACCTCTGGAGCCAGCGGCGGGCCTAACGGGGTCACAGGTCAAGGGGTCAGCGGGTCGGAGATCACGACCCCTGGCTCGACCCCTGGGGGTCACCTGGACGGTGGCGGTGGTGGAGGAGGCGGCGGAGGTGGAGGTGGAGGAGGAGGAGGAGGAGGAGGAGGAGGAGGAGGAGGAGGTGGTGGTGGTGGTGGTGGTGGTGGAGGAGGAGGAGATGGAAGACCACCTCAGGCCATTGTCAAACCCCAGATTCTTACCCACGTCATCGAGGGATTTGTCATCCAAGAAGGCTCGGAGCCATTCCCCGTGAGTACAGTGGTTCATTACTGAATGAGCTCTGAGCCTGCTTATTCCTCTACCCAGCGAGTGCAGTAACACCTCGGCTCGCCCAACTAATGGGGGAGAGGCCTGGTCCGGCTCGCTGAAAAGACCAGCTACTAGCTGTTAAAACTAATGAAAACCTTTATATTAAAGGCCCTGTGTATATGTGTGTATGTGTAGTAAGTATGTAGGAGGCTTGACGACAGGATCGGAGGCACACTTGTTTATTACACCAACTTGTGCACACACAGTAATTACGGGTCACTTGGCTACAGGGATACACAACAGCTAACCCCGCTAACCTATGCCCAAGTCCTCCACTACGGAGCTAGGGGAGGCTACCTATCCCAGCCCTGGTCAAGCTGGGATCCCGGCACCCTGAGTCTCCAGACCGGCTTGTCAGTCTGGGCTCTCGGGGCCACGCCACCGGCTTGCCCTGGTCGGCCCTTATAAGGACAGCGAGCCAGGGGAGCTCTGGGGCCTATTCTAGCAGGTCTTCCTTCTTCTCTGGTTAAAGCTGAGCCCCGACCTCGAGCCCTCCGGCTCACCACCTTTTATAGGACTCTGCCCCCGGGAGGGGCCCGTGGGGGATGCAGGTGCGGACGTCGGTGCGAGCACCTCCCCTGTGTACGGCCGTAACCCCGCCCCTTGTGTTTGTTAGCCATCCGTGGCCATGCACAATTACACCTCAACATCCGTGGCCATGCACAATTACACCTCTACATATGTATGTAGTGTAGCGGTTAGCGTGCTGCACTACGAACTCAGCGACCCGAGTTTGATACCTGTTCACAGCCAACACCAGTGAAGATTATCCGTGAGTGTGTCTTTGTATAGCTGTGCGTGTGTGTGCGCTTATGAATAGCTGTGTGTGGGTGTGTGTATCCCTTGCGTGTGCAGGTTGCACGCAAGACCGTTATCTCCGACAAGAATGCCAAGAAGCCGCTCGCCCCTCGCTCAGGATCGTCAGTGCCAGCGGCCGCTGTCGTTGCTGCTGCTACCAGACAGACACACGCCGTGCACGCACACATCCGCCACCAACTGCAGCAGCTGCATATACAGACGCCCGCTGCCACTGCAGCTGCCGCAGCTGCAGCCGGAACTGAGCAGCAGCAGCAGCGGGGGGGAGAAGGGCGTCGGTCAGAAAACAGTGACTCTGATGGAGCTGAGGCGGGGAGAGGTGAGGGGGGGTGTGGATGCGAGTGGGTGTATCTGTATGTGTGGATTTTAGTATACGTGGGAAGCGGTAGTGTAGCAGTTAGCGCACTGCCCTACGAACCCGGCGACCCGAGTTCAATTCCCGCTCACGGTCAACAACAGTGACGATGATCTGAACTGGTCCTGGGCCTCCTCCCTGAGGTCTACTCAGCCTCAATTGAGAACCTGGTGCAGTGTGTTAAAACATTATCACTCGGGAGACAAAGGCAACCAGGCGTTGCATTGACCACCCACCCCTTTGTGTGCCATGCCGGCCTTCGTAGATGCTCGCAAACAGAACTTGTACCGACAGTCTGTTTAGGCTATAAGGGGGATCTTTGTGTGTTTGTTGTAGTATGTGTGTATTCGAGTGGGCATGTGTAGTGCAACCTTAATCTTCACCCCCCCGCCACCAACAGAGCCCCCTCGAACCATAGTCCACGATCGTCTGCTGAAGTGTGAGTTTTGTGGGCGCGTGGATTTCTACAACACCTTCAAGCGCTCCAAACGCTTCTGCTCCATGGTCTGTGCCAAGCGGTAAGTGCCCCCCCCCGCACAAATCAGACGAGGCCAGATGGTGAGGCCCCCCATCCCAGCAGGGGATTAACAAAAACTCTGCTTGCCCATACATATGAGAGCTTGCAGCAGAGGGGTGGAGATGATGCCATCGTGAGAATTATTAATGTCCTTACCTTAATTACTGCATTTTTGATACAACTTTATTGATTTCCCTTCTGTGACAATATGCCAATCCGGCCATTTAACATCTGTGGTGAAGTATGGTCAAAATAACCCTTTCTGTGTGGAGTTTGTATGTTGTGCCCCCTTTTCTGCATTAGTTTCCTTCAGGTTCTCCTGTTTCTTCCCATGGCTTAACAAAAAAAAGCTTCCTACTATTAGTCAAACAATGGTGGTACAAAACATTTTTTACGGCAAATAACTCAATTGAACTTACACTTCACAACATCGCCCCCTACTGTGAAAACCTGGCAGGATCCTGTTGAAGAAATCTTATGACTCATTGATGCATTTCCTGGGCAAACAAGCGGAATAATTAATACATTTATGCGTAGGTGTCCTGCAGCTTGTGTATAATGTGTGTGTATGTGTGTCTTTGTACGTGGGGAGCGGTAGTTTAGTGTTAGAATACTGATCTATGACCCCAACGACCCGAGTTCGATTCCCGCTCACGGCGAACACCAGTGACAATTATCTAAATCGGTCCTGGGCCCTCCCCTAGGTCGACTCGGCCTCAATTGAGTACCTAGTAGAGTGTGTAAAAATATCAGTACTGGGGAGACAAAGGCAACCAGACGTACTGCTGGCCTCCCACCCCCTTGTGTGCCAGTGCTGGCATTCATATGTACCCCAACAGTCTGCGAAGGCTAAACGGGGGATCTTTGTTTTTGCGTGACGGTGGTGGCATAATGAGCAGGTATAACGTCGGCTGCAGTAAGCGAATTGGCTTGTTCAAGTCGGACGCCTCTAAGAAGAACAAGGTGGGGCGGCCACGTAAGAACACTCGCATGGCCGGAGGAGGGACCAGGTCTAAACTCAAGAGGGTAAGACGCACACACACCCACACAAAGACAAAGATCCCCTGTATAGCCATAACTTTTGGGGTAAGTGCTGTTAACGAGCACCTATGGGTGGGTGGCCAGCACCATGCCCAGCTGCCTTTGTCTCCCCAGTGGCAATGTTTACACTGCACTAGATACTAATTTGAGACCGATGTGACCTAGGGAATACCCAGAACCGGTTCAGATAATCGTCACTGGTGTTGGTGGCCATGACTAGGTATCGAAGTCGGGTCGCTGGGATCATAGCGCTGCGCTACAAACCCATCAACCAGAGTACGCCACTGCTCCCTTATATATATGCACACACACAACAACAACAACCGCCATTCGCCACTAAGTGGTGGTGACGTCACCACGACGCTTGTGCCAGGCCAAGTGCACCTTGAGGCCACGTGAAGTGTCGAACGCCCGCTGGCAGGAGGTCACGGGGCAGACCCAGCAGGTGCCACGGGTCGACTGACCGAGATGACCGAGATGACTGGCTGATGCACCACCTGTGCCCCCTACTGTACCAACTTGCTGTGCTTTAGCCACCCGGCGCTCCGCTCGTTGTTGTGAGCGTCGCTCCTCCGCCCTCCGTTGTTGTTGGAGGGCGAATGCCTCCAACTGCCCAGTAGCGTCCTTCACGAGCCTCCTCCACTGAGGCCGATCTTGACACCGCTGGTACCAGTCATCGGCAAGTCCACTCAGCTCCACGTCCTCCTGTACCACATCACTCCATCTCTTCTCTAGCCCGTGCCGCGCCCGTCTAGCCTCCTCGATCCGGCCGAACAAAAGCTGTTTAGGCATGCGGTAGCTGGGCATGCGGGCTACATGACCCAGCCAACGCAGCCTTGCCTGCCGGAGGAGCTCACCGATGGGACTTTGCCTAGATCTTTCAAGGATTTGTGAGCTCCTCACACAATCCAGCCTGGTTAAACCCAGGATGGATTGTAGGCAGGCCAGCCTAAATGTTTCCAACCGACACACACAACACCACACACAATACATGGATTTCCCGATTCTATTATATATTATTACATCAAGTGTAGGGCGGTGGTGGTCTGGGCCCAGTCACTGATGACTAAACAGTCGGTTCTGCACTTATATTTGTTACATTCCAGCTCTGAAAATTATAACCATTGGTTTTACGGTTGTGGCCAAGTGGCTCACAGGTCGGAGCGCTGACCCGGTAACACTGAGAACCTGAGTTAAAATGCAGGCAACCACCTATGATTAAATTGGGTTTTCAAGCGTTATGAGTTGAGGGTTTCATTCCGCTCACCAACAACCGCAAAAGAAAATCCCTTCATTTTCATCTACACTGATAACTAAAACTTTTGGTTTGAGTCTCATGCTACATACATTATTCTCGGTGGCAGGGCAGGTAGGAAAGTGCTGCTCCCTACTGCGTGGACCACAAGTCACTTAAAAGGACCTCAGAAGTAGTTCTATGATATCCACTTCCGTGGGCTCTTTCCTAACTTTGGGTGATGTACTGATTGTGGGAGAGTTCCCTGTCGATTATTTGTCTCGTAACACAATGCTAAAAGTACGCTCGGGATAAAATTGAGGGGGAAAAAGTATTCTTATGGTAACAGTACATCGATTTGTGCATGTTGGAATCAATTGTTAATGTTTTACACAAACTGATTTCTAATTATATGATAATGTAACATTTAGAATGGAACGAATCTACATTACTAAAATTAAGCCGTTTTGCCCATGCCATTCCCACACCTCCCGACCCTCTCGTCGGGCAGTCGTCGGCCTGTCCCTCGGGCCTGAAGGACCAGGCCTTTGCTGGCAGCGACGATGCATCCAGCCCCGAGGAGCCCTTCTGCCCCCCGTCCACCCGCTCGTCGGCGACCACCAGACCAGAATCAGGCGCCAACGCCGCTAACGCCACCAACGCCAGCAGCGCCAACGGCAGTCGTGACGCAGACTCGAGACGGACGACGGCGGCGGCGCAACTTGCGCCGTCGCAGACGTCATCGTCGACAACAACGCCACTGGTGCCGGCGCTGCCGCCTCCACTGCCTTCTGCCACGCCGCGGCCGCAGTCTGAGCCCAGCGCCGCCCGGCCCCGCCCGGCCAAACGCCGGCGCCTCCACTCGCACCGGCACGGCGCTTCGGGGGTGCGCGACACGGCGCGGCAACGGCTGGTGCGCAGCGTGCCGGTCACGCGGCGGAACAGCGCCGCCCCTCCCAACACCGCCAGCGGAACCATCGCTCCACCCGAGGGGGGGGGAGGAGGAGTGGTGGGAGCGATGGGTGGCAGCCGCGTGATGGGAGGAGGAGGATCTGGAGGGGTAGTGTCTGGAGCTGTGGGAGTTGGAGGAGGGAGCCTGGGTTGTCTGCACGGGCAGCACAGGCACCACGGGCAGCATGGGCAGCACGGGAGGGGAAGGGAAGTGAGGCAGCCGGGAGCTTGGAATGTGCTCGAGGTGTGGGAGTTCATCGGGCGGCTGCCGGGTGAGGTTCACAAACTCTGGTCACAACACCCTCGCCTACAGCCCCCCCCCCTACCACCACACAAGGGCGTGGAGCCTACAAGTGACTTGATTGCACACTACCCAAGCCTCCATTTCATGCAGCCCCCCGTGTCGTCTTCTTCGTTGGTGTGCAGGCTGCCAGGAGCTGGCGGACGAGTTCCGTCAGCAGGAGATCGACGGGCAAGCCCTGCTGCTGCTCAAGGAGGATCACCTCATGTCGGCCATGAACCTCAAGCTAGGGCCGGCACTCAAAGTCTGTGCCTGGATCAATCGCCTCAAGGAGTGCTGAGTCAACAACATCTCCCCGTATCCCAGTCTCTCCCCACTGTCTCTGTCTTCCCATCTCTCTTGTGTGTCTCAGTTTCTTTGTGTGCCTGGCAATATCTTTCTCCATCCCACCTTTCTACAGTAATACCCCGGTTTGTCTCCTTTTACGTCGTTTCGTAAATACATCGTCACTTGTTAACACCGCTACTGGATTTGCGTCGCCTCAACCAACATGGACAGCATCGTCCGTCCTTTCTCGTATCCGCTGCCTCGGCGTATGCCTCCACCTACCCTGTAAATTGCTTTGATTTTCATCGTTTCGATATTTGTCATCACACCTTTCAGGAAAGCATCCCCGACGTAAACAGGGTCATTACTGTATCTCTTTGTTTATGCCTCTCAATATCCTCCAGACTTGTTATCTCTATCTCCTCGTCTCTGTATCTTAATATGTGTATTTATATCATGTCCTTCTGTATGTCTGTCACCATCTGTATCTCAATCCATTTCTGTATTCCTCTGTCATGTATTTAGAATGTGCGTGTAAGTGTGAGTGGGTGTGTGAGTGCACATGTGTCTTTGTGTCTGTCTCTTCATCTCTCTAAATCCCTCTCACTATCTGCATTTGTCTGGCGTGTGATTGTCACACACTCTGCATCGTTTTGGAAATCGAACATGAATCGATCTCCAGTCTGAGTGTGAATCCCACTCTAGTCTGTATCTAAATTCCATGCTAGTAAGTGTCCGAATTCTACACTAAAATCTGAATCCCATATCAGTGATATATTACCATTGTTATTATATTTTTGAACGGTCGTTTAGTTCTATTCCAGCACCAGCAGTATGACTTGTCCGAGCTGCTTTGTGAGAGCATCAAAGTTGCCGGCACCAAACTCGTCCACAAACAGGAACCCGACAAATCCCTCTTCCTTTCCCAAAATGCATCACAACCACCGTTCACCAAATCAGAAATCCACGCGGGGGCTATGCGAATGGACTGCTGTACCGCTGAGCAAGAAGATGGAACTGACTTTCAAGACGCAGAGGTTTCTAAAAAATACGAAGTAAAAATGACGTTGGAACGTACAAAACAACAACGGCCGCCATCCAAGATGGCTGCTCGTAGCACTGACCTTGGTCACGAAAATGGCGGCTGGGAAATTTGCCGCGACTGCCGTTTGTTAATTTTAGCGGCAAACGAGGGTGCTTCTTCATGACGCTCCGCTCTGTCGTCGTTTGTAGGCGACCAGACATTTTTTATTTCATTAAGGCTTTGCGGAGTGTGGAATGAACTTAAGGTGCTTTTTTTAATAATCTTTGCTGGTGTAATCATAATGATCCTGAGTATTACAATAATCATCAGTGCTTTATTTATCCAGGAAAGCCTTCACTGAGCCTCAAGACACCTTTTCCACTGGCACATCTGAGGCAAGTCATACACAGATGGTTTTCCACTGGATATTTGCCAATCCAGAACGAAACCGTGCTTCAACTGGCTTCACAAGACATCTCAATCTGACTTAGGGCCAACAGGGCCAGGGACGAGGCCAATAGTTTTTTTATTATACGCTGCGTCAGTTCACTACGCGCACCTTGACTCGTTCATTGCGTGTGACCTTCGTGGCACAGCTGTCGTTCAACCGTAATGGAAAAAAACAACCCAGTTCTTGATCCACGTAAGGCTGGCTCAGCACAGCGCCAGCGCGGCTCGATTGTGCAGTGGAAAAATAAGTATTTATCAGGAGGTTCCAAGTTGGGATGTTTGGTCAATTCTTACCTCTTTGCATTCGTTTTCTTTATTGTTTGAGTCGTGGGAGGAAACCGGAGTGCTTGGTTACAAATAACTGAGTGCAACTGGAGAACACTCAAGTGCACATCGTGCTGTACTGCTCAGCAACCAACTTGCTGTGCTGCTTCCCAAGCTGTGGACTGCCTGTAGACTTGGATAGGAGTGTGTGTGTGTGCACTGTCAAGTTCGCGTCGTTTTGTCTATAGAGCAATGTAGAGCGTTGGCTGTTGTGATTTGAAAACAATGGTCTGTAAGGTGTCTCTGAAAACAAATGTGTATGTTGTACGCAGTGGTGGCGAGGAGTTAGCAAACCAAGCAACGTGTAGGTCCTTAAGTAGTTCAAGCAGCTCCGAATTAATGAGTGATAGTATGGATGCATCGTGTCGGCGTGTTACCATACAATCGCTCTCATCTCATCACCTTTACGAAAGAAAATGGATGCTTAGCTACGTCTTGACTTAAGCGTGGCTTGGCGTAGGTTAACCAGACGATCACAGAGCCAGATAAGGGGGGGGGAGGGCCCATTGCATTTTTTGTGCTTTGTGTTAATTGCCGAGGCTTGTAGAGTCAGACTAATACATTGGTAGGTTGCTTAGGGTTCAGTGTTATTGCCTAAGGCTCGGAGCCAAACGAATGCGCTCGTAAGATTTATAGGTTTTAGTGTTGATGGCCAAGGCTCGCAGAGCCAGATGAAGGCAGCATTATCATGCTTGTGGTTCAGTGGTGCTTTCCAAAGCTCAGAGGGTCAGATCAAGGATTCAGTCTCAATGTCTACAATTGGTTTTGTTTGTCCCTCAATGAAGCTCTTCTCCATTCTGACACCAACAATAATTTATGTATTCTCTGGTCTATAAGACTTTTTCCCAGTGCTAATGAAGTAATGAAGTGATATACATGTGGCCTCGCATACGCGATGTACACACTAACATACTAACGTGCGCTTGCATATGTAAGAGAATCCCCCAGATTTGTGTAACAGACTCTTGGGGTAAGTACTGTCAGCAAGCACCTATGAAGGCTGGCATGGAATATGGGGGGGGGGAGGTCGGTGGCCAGCACCACGCCCGGCCGCATTTGTGACCCCAGTACTGATGTTTATACACTGTTTCAGGTACATTTAAGGCCGAGTCGACTTAGGGGAAATATTCACAAATGTTATTGGCCGTGAGCAGGAATCTGACTCGGGTCGCTTGGTTCGTAGCACGGTGCGCTACCTCTCCCCACTAGCACACAGACATACAGATGGACACACACACACAGATGGACACAGACACAGATGGACACACACCGACTGAACCTACTTTAGCTTTAAAATACAGTGGGGGGGAGCGGAGTGCATTTTATAATATGGAGAATGCGATATACGGTAATCAAAATTGGAGGGTGTTTAGAAAATAAAAACAAACCATTCCCCTTCATGTGACTAAGCAAAGGTATCGGGAATTTGCGATTTTCCAAAGGGGGGGGGCGGAGGTCTACATCATCGCCAGCTGTACTTTGTTGCTCATGAGGCTCTGTCAATGATGGTGATGGGGACTGCACTGGCAGTCATATACAGTATATATACAAGCACATATCAAGAAAAATCCAGCAATTCGAGGCGGTCGAGTGGTCCAGGGGTCAGAGAATACTGAGCCAGTGATGCTGAGGATACTGGGTCTGAATCCAGGCTTTAGGCGCCCATGATTAAACTGGCTTCTTGAGCGTAGCGAGTTGATGGTCCCAGCCCGGTAACCGATGACTGCACAAAACAAACACGTGTTGAGTTTGTTACTTAATGCTGCTTCTGGTGAATTCGGTTTGATTGCCATGCGACAAGTACAATTCCATAGCAGCGCACGTGAGCAAGCGCAGCATCACTCAGCGTGGATTAGAGGCAATTGTCGGGACCTCAGAAAGTAGTTATTTTTGCGTCAACTTCCACAGGCTGTTCTGGAACATGGCGGGAGATGTTGCTTTCTTTAAGAGTCCCGAATCGATATGTCTTCGTAGAATGACGTGCCAGTCAGTGAGCACAATTGGAATATAATTGGGGTGAGGGGGATATAGTTAAATGTAAATAATTAAAATCGATACATTCCCAATTTAAAATGTCGAAATCTTTTGAAGGCACTGCTTTTGAGATATTCAGAAATCGCAGAGACAACATCTGATTCGTCTCCCACCCAATCACAACAGACTTGCGAATTGTCTTTAGGCACTTCCTCTGATATTGGGCCATCGCGCTCCAAATATTCAGTCAGCCGTTGGGAAGATGAGATGGCAACGAGAAACAAGTAGGGGTATCTATACATGGATCACCCTGTGTGTTTGTAAGCTCTTGTTGACGATAGTTGAGTTTTTGCAGATTCATATTTATACGCATTTTTGTTCTACTCAATCGTCAGTTGGATGTTTGTCACCCACCCGCGTGCGCGCGCTGGCACACAGTTGTTTGCTTGCTTCATGGTTTGTGATGGGGTTCTGTTGTAAAAAAAAATACTCGTGATGAAACGTCCGAATTAATCCAAATACATTTGGACCCAGAATCTCCATTCAAAATGCTCGCTCACTGGTGTTGTGGCATCCCACGATGCCTCACATGAATGAGCAGCGCGTGCAGGGCCTCTCATCAATCCCCTGCTGGGTGAAGGCAACTGCACACGCCGCGTCGGCCGTGGGACCTGAGGGGCTTTTCCTAGACCATACTTAACCACCTGCGGTCATCGCTGCACCGCCGCTAAAAGCTGCGCTTGGCTACGTACGGTGCGAAAGAAGTTCAGGTTACATACGACGCTGCTCAACATGCGGGGTCGGTGAAAGGATGGAGGAACACGACTGGTTCGGGTCCAGTTTGGATATCGCTCTCCACTTATGTTGGCCATGGCCGTGTCTGGGTTTGTGGTGCAGTGTCGTTGCCGTATTGCCGCGTGGAAGGAAAGGAGTAACCACAACCCAAAGAGAATAGGCGGCTCTTATCTTGTACTTACATGCACGTGCTGTGTATATCTTGGGCTGAGTAGTCCAGTGGTAAACATTCCAAATTTCCATGCCTATTCCAATCTATCCATAGGGCGACCACTTTGTTGAGTAATTTGCATTCATATTTAAGCTGTGTAAAATGACGCACGGTACTGTTCTGCATTGGAATTTTTGTCCATTTGTTTTTAATATCCTGAGTTGTATTACTTCGTGTAGGAGGGGAAAGTCGGAGTATCCGGAGATAACTCGAGGGTCCACATAGACGGGTTCGTGAACCGACTTGTTGTAATGCCTTCTGCCCAGCTCACATCCAGGCGGGGTTTGTCAGCGTCACAACACACAGCGCCTGTTTCTGGGTGAATCGACAAGCTTGCGTGTGAAGCGTTCTCTGTGCACTACCAGGCGTGGTTCGTAATGCCAGTGACGTTTACAGAAGATGGATGGTATTTGACGACAGCTTTTCAATTGTCGCCGTGCAGCCAGCGCCACGCGTGGACTTCAGTTTAGCAACACAGCTGAGTCAACAGGGAAACGAATCACGCCACACGACATTGTCAGCTGAGCCAATCGGCTGCTTTCCGCTGTACCTGGGTATGGTTGTATATTTTGTCCGTCCATCCGTATGCAAATTCGTCCGTCCAATGACACGCGCCAGTGTGTTGTTACAAGAAAAATTAATCGCTCGAAAATTCACCACCAGCTTTACCCATAGCAGTCCCCGGATCCTATAGAGCTTTTGGGGGAAAGATTGCAACAGAAATACTTTGATGAACGGCGTTTTCATTTCAGATTAAAGATGTAGCATCGCGACTGATCCACACACGAGCGACCGAATCTCGCAAGCAAATCGCTCCCGAACCCACACATGGTCCAAACTAACTGCAGAGACGACCACGCAACCAGTCGCCCGGGCGTGGACCCGGCTGAACCCGCGCGTGCGTTTGTGTCTCCGTTTGTCCGCGCGTTTCTCTGTACGATCAAAGCTTCCCCAACGAACCGGAAGGCTCCGTTATCACGGACTGGTTTGCCCAGCTCGTATTAAGGTTTTGGGATGGCAAAGAACGTGGCCATAACTGCTGTTAGTAGCGTTTTCTAGCAGTAGGCCTGGTGAGGAGCCTTTGTCGACCACACACTGTGACACATGGGTGCCTACAAGTGATGTTAAGGTAGTCGACTCGCTGGCAGTGGGTGCTGTAAACACGAGGGGTGGGGGAGTTAGTGGCCTGATGTGTATGAGGAGTGAGGATGCAACGGAGGGCGGCTGTATCCGTTCCAAGTATATAATTGCTGTCTGTCGGAACACGCACTAAATGTCAATGCTTTCGAGCGTTCGTCGTCATCAGGTTTGCGTGTTCGCTGAGTAGTGGACACGTCCGCTTGAAAATGCAGAGCAATCTGGAGAAGAGAAACATTTCTGGGAGAAAACAGATTCTGGCCAGGCTGGGCTCCCAGTGCCTTCTTCAAGCGAGTGGTTTGAGAAGCTTGACAAATAATTAATTCGTCCCGGGCGGAAATAAAGGCTTGGAATATCGATGATGCTGATGACGACTGTGGTGATAGTGATAATTGCTGTAGATCCAAGTGCCCTGCACTTTAAGGGGGGGGGGCATGTAGAGAAATAAATAACTAGGCTTTCATCACTGCTCTGTGTCAAGTCACAGACATTCCAATCAGCCCTGATTGATAAAGGACAAGTCATTTTACCTTCGCTCGTTTCCAACAGAAATAAGCGGTGGTTTTGTTTTTACTTTAGTTTGGACTGCTGGGTTAGCGTGTGCGTGCCCGTATGCGTGTTTTACAGATATGAAAACAAAATGTTTCGCGTTTTTAAAAGACTCCAAGTCGTCGGGAGGTTTTTAGAAAGTTTTTTTTCAGGGCAGATTTGCTTTTACTAAATCGTTTTTGTAATATTGTTGTGAATTTAACCGGAGGTTTTTTCTTCTTGTTGTATGTGCTCGTTCGTAAGAGTTCTCTTGTGTTTAAATTACGATCGGTTTTCATGCTTTTTATTTTTCAAGAATGCGTGTTTTCACCCCCGACTTCTTGCTGCGTGTTCTCGATGCTCTGGCGGTTTTTGTGCGGCTTGGTAATCATATGCAAAACAAACAAAACATTAAAAAGGGATTAACCCCCCCCCCCCCCCCCGAGTTTGGTTCCAAACAGGGCTCTCGTCCGAAGGGGAAGACGCGCATGTGTTTTCGGCACCTCGCGGCTTTTCCCATGATCTTCGTTGTTCGTGGCTCCTTTTCGCCAGCCACCGCTGTGAGCAGTGTTGTTTTTGTATCGTCGTTTTGTATCGATTTTGTATAGAAGGCAGCGCGGATGCATGTGTTTCAAAAAGTGGTTGTACGCTAGTGTGTGGCAATTCATTGAACGTTTGTAACAATGTTGAGCTCCAAACCGGTGTGCATGACCCAATATCTTTTGTTGAAAGTTGCTCACAAGAGGTCGAGACGCTTTCGCAAAGCCCAACACAGCTTTGCAGATCCAGGAGCTCTAAGCAACTAATATCAGATTTGTTAAACCCCCAAAAACACACATTGTAACTGGGTTGGAAGAAAGATTATTACATCACAAACTCAGGCCCCACCAGAGCTTCGTCAACAAACTTTGAGAGCATGCTCGACCTGGTTCTGGAACCTGACCAGCACCGACGCATCACTGCACTGGGAGTTTTCCAAACTGGTTACTCCGACCACCGCCTCATACTTTCTTCCCTCCAATTTCCCAAGCCAATCACCATCAAATTCACCTGCAACTCGCGTAATTTTAAGGGTATCGAGTTTTCTGCTTTTCGTCACCTCCTTGCAAATTCGCTTTCAATGTTATCCCCATCATCGGATCCAACCGTCTGCGCTCTCCAACTAGAAGCTGACATGAGGGCGGCGCTGGACAAACTAGCTCCATTAAAATCACGAACCGCTAGGCAGTCTTCCCACGACACTCACTGGCTCTCAAGAGATGCCATCATTGCTAAGCGAACCAAGAGGCGCCTTGAAAGTATCGCATCCCGCAGTGGTCTACCTGCTGATCGACTTGCTTACAGAGTCGCCTGCAGGAAACTAACAAACTGATCCTAGTCTCACGTCCCTCCTACATTGAGGAACGCATCAAAAAAGCAACCGGAAAACCGCACATTCTATGGAAAACCCTCAAAGATCTTCTACATCCTGGTATCACCATAGTCCCTCACCTTAGCGATCCCCTTGCCTCACTGAAACTTGTCACCTCTTTTAACACTTCACCAACAAGCTAATCACCATCGCAAACTCGTGCACGTCTACCGACACATTGCACCATTGTACCCCGCTCATGGTACCTAAAATTGTAAGCACTAACCCAGACACTCTTCTAATTACGCTAAAGCCAGTGTCTACAAAAGACGTTTTCTCTTTAATTGAATCACTTCATTTGAAGTCATCTCCACTCGACGTGCTCCCAGGTTCCTTGTTCAAGCAATGTGCCCCGGAACTCGCCATCATGATCAGGAACATCGCAAATTCCTCCTTCTCTACGGGGAGTTTTCCGTCCAACCTCAAACCTGGCCTGGTTTCTCCCTTGTTAAAGAAACCAAGTCTTGACTCGGATGACCCATCTAGTTATTGTCCCATCACTAACCTCTCGAACCTCTCTAAACTCCTTGAACGACTTGCCCTCGCCCAGCTAAAACCACACATCACCTCCTCCGCAAACTAATGCTGCTTCCAGTCAGCTTATCGTCAACTATTCCACAGAAACAGCACTCACTAGAGTGCTCGATGACATTTTAACGATCATTGATTCCGGCTCAACTGTTGCACTCGTAAGTCTGGACATTTCGTCAGCCTTCGACACCATCAACCATTCGCGCCTTACTTCCCTCCTGAAATCCGACTTCGGTATATGCGGCTCAGCACTCAAGTGGATAGTTTCGTACCTTTCTGACTGGCAATCTTCAGTCAGGGTGGGCATGTCCACATCGCCTGAAACAACTGCATTATGCGGGGTTCCCCAGGGCTCTGTACTAGGTCCCCTGCTCTTCACAGCCTACACTTCCCCGATCGGCCGGCTCATTGCAAGCTTCGGTATTAAGCATCACTCATACGCGCATGACACGATTCTATTCACCGCCATCGATTCTAGCAATGCACCTGGATTCGAGAGGCTCTCGGAATGTACCACCGCCGTGCAACAATGGTTCACTGCACACAACCTAGCCCTTAATCCGAAAAAGTCAGTGGCCATCATGTTAGGTACCAAGCAACGTCTCAATTCTGCAGCACTCACCACACGCATACACATCTTCGGTCACAGCATCAAGTTCACCGACCACTTCAGCTACCTCGGTGTCATCCTAGATTCAACTTTATCCTTTGACCGTCAAACCAACCATATCATCAGCTCATGTAACTTTCACCTGAAGGCTCTCGGACACATACGTCCTCTCATCTCTACTGAAATGGCCAACACATTGGCATGTTGCATAGTTGGGTCTCGCATTGACTATTGCAACTACGTCCTAGTCCGGACCTCCGCTGGCAACCTAAAGAAACTTCAAAGACTACAAAACAACCTAGCACGCGTCGTCATTGCCCAAACTCATCCCCGTCTCGACTCACTAGCTTGTCTCCGTGCTCAACTGGCTACCCATCGCCAGTAGGGTCACATACAAGACCGCCTGCCTCTGCCACAATGCCTTCATATCTGCCTGCCCGCCGTACCTTTCTTCATTACTGACAACTTGCAGCTCAGCACACGGCAGATGCCTGCGCACCGCGACTCACGACCTCCTCTTGATACCAAGATCCAGGATGGTCATGTCTATGCGCCGCTTCTCGGTGGCAGCCCCAACAGTCTGG